AGGTACATCTTCCACCAGATCAGGTTGCTCAGAGCCCCTCCCCACATGCCCTGTAATGTTTCCAGGGATTGGGCATCCACCACCTCCTCCTAACATATATTAGATGACCTTAGAAGGAGGTATTCGCCTTGACCGCCTGTTATACATCAAAATACCCTGTCCGGATATGAATATTGGCAAATGTTGAATTAATGCATTTTTTCCTAATGAATAAAGGTCTCAAATAAAAACAAAATTGTGTGCAACAGCCCAGAATCATAGGAAGTACCTGGTGGAGACACAGGGGCAGTATCTTTGAATCCATCTGCTCAACCTCTTCACGGAGCAAAGAGAAAAGAGACTGCAACGTTTGTTTTTGTTCTTTTTGGTGAAAGTTTTCATTTGCTTCAACAGCACCTTCAGCATGCACAGAATCTGTATCTGCAATAAGAGTATTTTCCTCCTTGATTGCTGTGGTTCCCACTGTAGGAACTCCTTTAAAAAGAACAAGTACTTAGGTTAGGATTCAAAAAATACGTCAAGTTGCTTTTTTAGGAAATTTCAATACAAAAGCTATGAATAAAACCCTAGTATCTTAAATAACATCCCTGCAAGTAAATAAGATACTGGTCTTGTCCAAATTAGTTGTGATAGGTCTGTCTCAGTGTCAGCTCATCTACCTGAAAAACATAGTAACATACATCAGGTATTTTTGTACACTTCTAACTGGGACCTGACTTTAACTTGGGGCAAAAAACCACCACCTAGTCTACACTGTTCTACAGAATTATTAAGAAGAGACCAGGATGACCTAAAATAAAAAGTGTTGTGACTGGTGTTACAGTTTCAGCTAAAAAAAATCAATACTTAGATCCAAGTGGACAAAAAGACTGAATTGTAATACAGCAGAGACAGAAAGCAGCGTTGTTTGCAACAGTTTTGCTCAAAAAGGGCAAAAAGAAGGTAGGCAAGGAGAGTGTAAATGAGGTCCTCAGTTTGTTTCTTCACTCCTGCCAAGGACCTTGCACAGGAAGATGTCCGAGGGAGGGAGGGAGGAAGGAAGGACAATTCGACCTGTTCTTCAGATGGTAACACAGTGGCTCCTCACAGTGACGACAGGATCTTAAAGGATAGGAAGAAGCAGATGATGAGAGTGGAGGATTCTATTGTGGGGGACAGATGTCCAGGGGGACTGCCCTGCTGAGTGAAAAGGAAGACCCCCTCTAGATAGTTGGATAGTTTATTTGAGAGGCCAGGGAATGAGCCAGTAGTGGTGATCTACGTTGGTAAAAATGACACAAGGATGTGCAAACTGAATTTAGCCTCCAGAACTTCTTGCTAGGCAGAAAACTAGGTTCTCCATGGTACATTCCCTGGCAGTTGACTGTCTCCAATTTTACAGAAGTCAAAAAAGTCAGACATGCAGGTGGACGACTGGCAACATATATGAAGGACAATGTAAAGCGTAACAATATAGAAATATTACAGGAAAAACTTTCTGGGTGCAAATCCCACATTTTATTGTTAGAAATGCAGTATTTGTAGTATATTGCTGATCATGAATATGATAGTTACCAGAAAATGTTAAATGAGATTAGGGAAGAAGCGTAGAGCTTAACTATCCATATACAGACTGGACCAGTTTCTCACGAAGATCAAAGAATAAAAGCAATAAATGATGTCTTCCTATAACACACAGTCTTAGGAGTAACGAGAAAACTACAGCTTATTCCACCAATTAATGGAAAATTTTTTGTTCATAAAATGACATTGAATTTGATACATTTACATAGGACTGAACTTTTAAAAAAATAATTCCATACATTTTTTAAAAAATTTAGAGAATTTGGCCACTGAAACACGCACAATAAATTTTTATAAACTCAAGTTATGATGAGTATGTTATTCTTCCCCAGCTACACCCATTTTCTGAAAATCATGTTATCATTTAAAAGTAAGACAGGTGCGGCACTGTTTCAAGTAACCATCACACTGACTGTTTCTGCAGCTTGGGCACTCAGCATATTTCAGACCCTCTTGTGTTCATCGCAACTGAAACCCTATAGTGATGATTCAGGCTTAAGATTTAGGGCTTAAGAAAGGCATTAGCTTGTCCACTGAAGGCTCCACTGTTCTATTTTGGGTTATTTTAAACTCTTCATTAAGTAAACTATCCAGGTCAGGAGTACTAATAATCTCTGTGGGTGGCTATTTTCACAGGGCTTACTGCCAGACAAAATATGGGTGTGACTTAACACTGCTTTTTCAGTATTAATGCATGTCTCTGCTTTTCCAGTATTTATTTGGGCTTGCTGTGGGCCAAAAGCAACAAGAGACGTAACTGGATGCAAGATACAAACCAGGAAGTACTTTCAGAGATGGAATTAAGGCTGTATTTAAAAAGACAGCTTTCTGTTCAGCACATCATGAAACCAGAAAAGAGGGTCCACATTTCTGGCAAACCTTTTCTCTCTCTCAAAAAAAAAGTAGTCACTTCAAACTGCACTTTATTAAGCAGCAGTTAATAATCACCTGTCATATCAAGAACGTTGACTGAAACATGCTCAACAGCAACTACCATGAAAAACCTTCATTTTAATGTTATGTGGTACTGTTGCTAACACATAGTTTATAAACTGCATATTACTCCTACATATAGTTGAGCTGTCACTCACTTGGAATCAAATTCTGCCCTCAAATTACTCCCCTGATTCTGAAGCAAGGCCTTACAGCCATTCAGGTTAATTCTACCTTGTTCTGTTTTAAACACAAGACAGCATTTGTGCCTTAGTAGCACTATAACCAAGAACTTTTCTTGAGGCAGTAACACTTGGTAATGCTATTTCATCATAAAGGTGTTATGGGCTAAGATCCCTATTTATTTTTTTTTTCCTCCATGTTCTTGAAAAGGGTACACAACACTGCTTTTTCCTGGAATCAATCAATCAATCTTACCATCCAAAGCAGATTCCCCCCCCCCCCCCCCCACAACAAACACAAAAGGTCCCCACACACACACTAAAGATTGGTATCTTACATGTATTTCTGGTATTTTAAGAAGCAAGGATTAAGTTTTTTCACTTTGCAAAGCATTGATATTTACTCCATACATTGGTATTTGGTTCCATACTAGAATGGAACCAAAGCCTTTATGAAAATAAATGTGAAAAAACACAGAAGATACCAACTCTCCAATGGCCAGAGCACTCACTAGGAACGTGGCAGAGAGCTGGGTTCAAGTTTCTGCTCTGCCAGACTCTCAGAGGTTTCAACTGACATCTTCTATGCCCAGTTGGGTGTGCCAGTGTTTCCTAAGACAAGGGGAGAAGCAAACTTTCTCAAAATTTCCCTAAGAGTTCACAGAAGCAGCCCCATGTTTGTAAAAAGATCCAATTTTGACAGACCTTGTGAATAACAATGACAAATGCATTTTTCAGTATGTCTCACATTTTTTTGTTTTGTCAGTACCTCAAGTATATGAAATTAAGATGCTCTTGCCACCTGCCTGAGAATGAGTCAGAGGGGCAAGTATGAGGCATTTGCTATCAAAACAAAATCATGGCTATTATCCTCTGTTTTTTAATTGAATTTTAATTTTCATTCAGTAGCATTAGCTTAAGTCACCAGTAACAGAAGTTTCTAGTACAGAAAACATATGGTAATCTCTTTTTTTAAACATTCTTTGGTACTGAATACCAGAAAGCTGGTTCAGACTGATTCATTCAAGAACTATTAAAAAAACCCCAAACAACCAAACCAGCAAGTATTTAAAAAAATATTGCATTTTTAAGAGAAGAGATTTTAAGACAGGAGTGTTGGCACTGGTTCAGACTGATTCATTCAAGAACTATTAAAAAAACCCCAAACAACCAAACCAGCAAGTATTTAAAAAAATATTGCATTTTTAAGAGAAGAGATTTTAAGACAGGAGTGTTGGCAGTAAAGATACAACTCTAACTGAGCAAGCTCAAAATCTTGTTTAGTGCGGCACAGAACCCTAAATAAAATAACATTGCTTGAATTTCCATATAATTTGACTAGTTTATTTTATATATTTCATTTGCTGCAACACAAAATCCATCCCAACCACTCCACTTTCTTCCCCCACCTTCAAGCTGCTTCAAGAAATAAGTTGAATAATTTACAGGAAAAGCATATGTTGCAGAATTTAACTTGGGGAAAAAAGATTAAGTGCAAATTACCGTGCTATACTACATTAAGGAATTACACACTGTGATTTTACAATATTAAGTTACTAGTTATGCCAGGACTGATCTTTTGGAAAAAGATGAAATTATTTTCAGAGAACAGGGATAATTTGAAGCACATTTACAAAAATACATTGAAGCAGATGACACTTCATGAATCACTATCTCTACTGCACTAAAGTTAGTACAATTCATTACAAGGAATCCAAGTATGAATAATCACCAAAGTTTAAATTTGTCAATTTAAATTTACATCACTTCTTTGATCACCAGTGTCCTCCTTAAACAGATATAATCATAGTCTATTCAAAACTATTATTAGTAAAAAAAAAAGAATGTGAGAGAAATTTGGGATCTGGAAGCTATAGACTTGTCAGTTCACTCTCATACATCTACTGCAGCATCAAGACAGCTAAAAGGACGTGCTTCTTCAAACAATCCATAGGTGAAATCTTGGAACTACTTACTCCAGGACACTGAAATGGACTCAAAAAACAACTGCAAATCAGGTGACAAATTCTCTGTAAGTTATTACAGTCTATCAATTCCCACTTGGGGAAGTGCTGAATGGATAATTGCTGATGGCAAGGAAAACACATGAACAAATCACTACCTCTTTGCCTTGTCCTTATGCTCTTACCTACCCATCCTCTATTGGCCACTGTCAGGGGAAGGATATTGACCTAGGTGAATCTTCAACCAAACATAGCGATTCTTAGTCTTGCATTCCAGTCTACTGATTGTAGGAGCTAGGATAATTCTAGCACCAACACATTCCAAGCATATACAGAAACATAATAATCAAATACTTATAACTGTTTATGCTTTATAAGCAAATATTTAGAGGGTTTCAAACACATTGCAAGTGCAAGTACTCGCTCTTTCTTCTGAAGAAAAAACGTATATCCAGAACGGAAGATTGGCTTCTCTAATAATCACCAATCTTCTGCTGAGCAAGTCCCAAATAAATAAAAATAAGTAAAATTTAGTTTTCCATATTCCGGGTTCATTGCTTTAGTCATTAGCAAGAGAAGGAATATGAACAACATGGTTAAGACAAATGTAATCTTTTCCAGAACGGCAACATTTAACAGCGAACCTAACAGGTTTGCTTATAGGGGAAGAGAAGAAGATACGTAAATCTCTTCTTTAGCTATGAGTCAAAGCAACTCCTCCATGATTTCTTAACAGTTAAAAATAAAGATTTAAAAAAAAAAAAAAAAAATCACCATAATACATGCCGTGCAAGTATTTAGTTTGTGATTCCAGCTTGCTTGTATGGCGCTCTGCTGTCACCCACTCAGGGATTTTCCACTCTGGTTTGATTATTCTCTCCTTTATCTCTGAGTTGGTATAAAGACAAGCAAGCTGGTCTGGTTCTTTTACGTAGAGGGATACTCGGGAATTGCTTAAAACAGCTGGTGTTAAAAATTAAATGGAAGAGTCTCACTAAAATAAAGACATAGGCAACATCAAGAAATTGTGACAGTCACTGCATTGGGTGAAAACAGGAGAATCATCATGTGAGAATATCTAAAAATCTACATGTAAATTAGCCCATAATCAATGGGAGATATAATGTAATTTTATATTTTGATCTTCCTTCTATAACAGTCACGGTTCTTTATTAATAAAGTAGTAAGAGTTTGTTCATAGGAATTCAACAAAACTCTTAAGAGTTTTGCAGGCAGGACGTTCTCTGTTGTGGTATTTTACGTCTCTAGATTTTTCCATGAAATTTTCTATATTTCAGATTTCTGCTTTTTGCCTTAAAACTGCCATCTACTATGCACAGCTCGTTTTGTGGTACTTCTGCATCAGTTGATCGCATTTACCAACAAGAATACAATCTAACCGAGAGAGAACACAAGCAAAGTTTAACTTTCCGTGTTTGGGTGAACTTCTCCTTTTCTTCCACTCATCGTGCTTCAGGTACCTTCATGCACACATCTGTATCACATTTCATCAACTTGTTTTTTGTTATTCCCGTCATACAGATGACTGGTTCTCAATTACTTCTGCCAATCTCTTGTTTTAATTAAGTATTTTCTTCTATTTTTAAACATTAAATCTACAGTTGAAATATATACTAAATGACTTTCTGCATCATTTAATGAGAATTTATTCTCCCTATAATGACAGATTTCAGGATCCTCTTATCTCTACTAGAAAATTTTTCTCTTCTAGATTTAACGTTAACCAACGTTTAAATACAGAAGGTGAAAAAATCTCAAGTTGAATCTGATTTAGGACTATTAACAGTTCTGGGGGAAAAAAAAAAAAACAAACCCACCCTTTAGTGAGATTTTAAAAATAATTAGTATGACAACTAAAATATATCTTTCTTGTTAGTTCACAGATTACAGTTACAGTGTTATTATTTTAAGTAAACAGAACAAAAACTTTTTTTTATAAAGTACCTTTAGATCTTTTACTGGAGCTTCTTTTGCTTCTTGGACTTCTTTTTCCACCTGGTTGTTTTTCTGTAATAGGCTTTTCCTCCTGCTGGGGGTCCATATGGACATTTACAGATCTCCTCTCAGTCTCACTTTCCTTACAGCTTGGGGTACAGTCTCCACTGTCCATATTCTCATTATTATTGATGCTGTCCTGGTCACCTTTATCCTGTCGTCCCATAGCAATGCTACTACTGGTCAGAACCTCATTCCCGTCATTGTCAAGTTGATTTTCATTTTCATCAGCTGAAGAAACCAAATGAGATGCCAAACTTTCCACCCTATAGTCAGCAGGAAGACTGTCCTTTGAGTCTATTTGTAGGTCATTTGGTGGAAATTCTCTGTCATCCATTAGAGCGTTACTTGTTGAACCACTTAATCTCCCTCCAAATATTTTTAGACCTAAAATATAAAACCAGAAGAAGCATTTATAATATGTATATTATAACAGATAACTAACCTCGTACTTAATGCCAGCCAATAAAGAATCACATTAGCCAAATGATACAGTTTAAAAGTATGGGGAAATTCCTTCAAACAGTAATCCGTTGCCCCATTGTAAGTCTTAAAGCAAAGCATATCTGCATACAAAAAACTATCTATAAACTTGTATTTTTATCCAATTATAATTGGTTCCAGTTACCTGACCAATAGCATAGCTGATCTTTACAGCAGTGCTCAGTGTTACAGCTGAGGTAACAACAACAAAAAAAAAGATAAACAGAAACAACAACAGCCCCCCCCCCCTTTAGATCCATGGTTAAAACAAAAGCATTCTTGTCACATAAGATCATAGTTTGCCTGAAATAAAAATGAACCAGGGAGGAATGAAAGCAGAACAACTTTTAATTCTGTCAGTGATGGTATCACATCAAATATGCATATAGATTAACTCTGTTACAAGAATTAGATGCAAGTAGAACCTGTTTATTGACTCAGATTGTCACTTTATTTTCAAGAAAACATTCAACATGTCTTCAGTATACACCGAAGCAGGTGGTTTGTTAATAAAAAAAGCCTAATCCCCCACCTACTCTTAGCAGGGGTCAATTTTCCCTTTTTGTAAACATGCAACTCTAATCAATGCTGCAATTAGATGCATATTCACAGGAAAAAAAGGGTAACCCTTAGCAGCAAAGTTACACAGTACTTATACAGGACTGTTATTATATCAGTTCCTATCTTTAGCTTTTACAAGCATGGCAATACTGCTGGTTTAACTTAGCAACTATATAGATGAAATACAGCTCCATTATATACATCTTATTAGATTTAGCTCACATTTTAAATAGTGAAGCCAAAAATCAGCAAGCACTCTTGTATTATAGAAGAGCTTAGACAGTCCTACAACAGCTTCCTATCCTTTCCTTTAAATGAAAAAGCATTTTAGGACCTGTCTTCACCAAGCTTTCTTCAGTCTTATGTCCTGGTATATACAACTGAAGTAAGTGAAATACACACTTGCTAAATATGCAAGATAATGTTTCATTTTACTTGCTAAGAATTCAAATTGTAGAAAAATGGAAAAAATGCCTTAAAGAATAAGTAGGTTTTCCTTCATACACAGAAACATATTTCTGTCAAAGATTACTAAAAAGATTTTCCCAAAATTACTCCTCCACAACCTTTGTAGATGCTAAAAGGACTGGAAAAAAAGAAAACGTCACTCATATCTTAGAGAAGGACAAGAAGGAGGATTCAGGGAGCTACAGGCTCTTCAGCCTCACCTCAATCCCTGGAAGGTGATATAGCAAGCAATCCTAGAAACCATTTTCAAACATATGAAGAACAAGGTCATCAAGAGTAGTCAGCGTGGATTTATGATGGGTAAATAGTGCTTAACCAACTTGATAGGCTTCTACAAAGAGGTGATTGGCTCAGCAGAGGAGGGGAGAACAATGGATGCTGTTTAACTTGACTTTGGTAAGGCTTCTGACACTGTCTCCAGTAACATCCTCACAGACAAGCATACAAAGTACGGGCTAGATAAATAGACAGTAAGGAGTTCCAGGGAAGCATGCAGAGGGCGACAAGCCACCACCAGCTGGGCAACACAAAAGCAAAAGTCAGCACCGACTAGGACAACTCCATCTCTGCTTCCAACCTGAAGAACTTGTTAACCATTTCTAGCCATACCAGTCTAACAAAAAATACTGCCTATCCTATGATGTATAAGCTGCACTAGGGGAGGTTTAGACTGGACATGAGGAAGCATTTCTTTACCGAGAGAGTGGTCAAACACTGGAACAGGCTTCCTAGAGAGGTGGTCGATGCCCCAAGCCTGTCAGTGTGTAAGAGGCATTTGGACAATGCCCTTAACAATATGCTTTAACTTTTGGTCAGGCCTGAATTGGTCAGGCAGCTGGACTAGATGATCGTTGTAGGTCCCTTCCAACTGAAATATTCTATTCTAGAATAATGAATTGTACGCTAGTGATGCAAGTCGTATTTTCCTTTGGCGACCAAATAAGAGAATTGGCTTTCCTTGAGCACCAGAAAGACAAAGAAGGGACCTTTGGAGGAGATATGTATCTGGAGAATGCATCTGTTCATTAGAAGGATGCTCCTTAATCAAGCTCTTTTCTCTCAAAGAGAGTTAAACACAAAATGAAAGGTTAAGAGGAGGACAGAACTTTAATCAGAACAGCAAGAATCAGAACTAGAAGATATTCTTTATGGCACCGACACTATAGTTATGTTTATTTATTGATGATAACTGTTCTAAAGCATTAAAAAAAAAAATAATCCCAAACACTATGTTGAACTTGAAAGGTTCACTTCTTACTCTTCCTAGCACATGAAATAATAACTACTGCTGCCCTCCCCAGCTCATAAATTAAATGATACATCAAACATAAGAGGTTGAAGTAAATTGCCCAAAGCCGAGGAGGAATTAGTTTTAACAGCAATAATTAAAAATCAGGATGTCCTACCACCACTCTCTTGCTTCTATCAGTAGATAACAGTTTATTCTTTTAACAGCTATCACAGGGAAACAGAAACGTGACTGCATTTGAACAAGGTGTTTCCTGTTAAGGTTGTGCAAAACAAGGAAAGATACTTTTGACAAGTGACATTTTGTATAGAGGAAGCTAACACTTTGATAGAAAATATTAACTCATTTCCTTTTAACATGTGGCTAAAACGACAGTCCCTCTCTAGCTGAGAGGCTGGAGAGCTTCTGCAGCTAGCACAGATCAACATTTCTTGGTTTATTGTTTGAAACTCAGTATCTCTCCAAATAAAAGTAGCCCTGAAAATCTATTCCTTTCTACAAGCCTTATGACTCCTTAGAGAATGAAAATCCAGAAAGAGCTAGTTCAAAGAATTTAGAACAGTCTTGGCCTTGATCTTTTAAAAGGATTTCCCCCCCCCCCCCCCCCAACAACACTTTTCCCTTCCTGGTTTTCAATGGTGCTATCTGCTACTCCTTTTGATTTTACCAAGGCACCAGGCAGGTACCAAAGTGAAGCTAAATCCTGTGAGAATGAACTTTAGCTCTGTCTAAAAACACAAGTAGAAATACTTATTTATAAACAAAAATGGAATAAAAATCACTAGTGATTTGAACTATATTTAACAGACCATTAACATGCAGTTACTGTATTTACTGTTTTGCCATTGGAATGAATTGTACACATAAACAACATAAGAAAAAAATGTTTGTTTCTTCCTAGGCACATCTTTCCTCCCTTCACTGGTTGCCCAAAATTGAAATAAAAGCTACCACTGAGTAGAACTGTGCTGACCTCTGTTAAAAGGTGCTGATGAATGAAAGTGCTTCAGTTCCAGTTGCCACACAGATTCATGCAATTGGCATATATAATCATGGTGATTATAGCACATATCAAAAATAAGATGGAAAATACTTGCCAAGTGGCTAAAAGACAAAGTCTGTATCGAAGAAATTAGCTGTATGTTTGTTTGCTTTAACACAAACAGTATGTACATTACAGAAATATCATGGTACTCACTTCTATTTTACGTCAATTTCAATTTTAAAAAGCCTGTGCTCTTCAGTGTTCTCTTTCATGTACTTCATATAATTTCAAAAACTTTTTTAGTTGCTCGGTTTTGTCTGTGTACAGAGCCTTTCTTCCATCTATCCTTACTAAGGAAACATAATCTTAAATACAGTTGTTTGGATTGCATTCTGAAAAAAAAGGGAAGAACTCGGATCTTTCCTGACCTGGCACAGCTGAAATTTGAAGAGGGCATTAAAAAAAACAAACCAAACCTATAAACACACACCACCTCCACCCAAACCCTCATACTAACATAGCTCCTCTATCCTGGAAAGCTGGTGGGTTTTGTGAACGTTTACTGAATATATAGCATAGTATTTAATTTACTGATCTCAGAAGTATCTCACAGAACAGATCAAGATCATAACACCGTATCTGCTGGCAAAAGGCTAAGAAGGTTCTAACACTCAAAAATTTTATGGCAAATCATTTTTTATTCCATTTGACTGCCTTCATATAGCTCCTCTGCCAAAGACACTATTTTCCCCTCTCTCATTCTCATGCCACTTATTTATTCTATGTTAATTAGGGAGATTTAAGTCTTTTAATTCTTTGAAAGTCAGTTTCCTCATTATATCACCTATATTGCTCTATTCAACTTGAATGGGCATTTCAGATTGGTTCCCAGTGTTGCTTCTACTCAATCTTTTCATTAACTTTCATGATAAAACACAATAGCTGTATAAAATCTGCAGTTAGAAGCAGTCGTAAGTATTTTTGAGGATTTAATTAAAATTAATTGTATCAATAAGTGCTCCAAAAGGAATAACATGAAATTCACCAAGACAAACAGAACTCACCATATCTTTTAGAATAAATGAAGCACATCTATATGAAATAGGGATTAACCAGTCATTCTGTTCTGATGAAAAGTATCTCAAAGAGATACTAAATAGAAAACTGACCGTGAGTCCAAGTGTTTTTTTCTCCTGAGATATAATACAGCAAGTGTTACAGGCACAAGAGAATTCATTATGTCCTACCAGACACTAATCAATTATAGCCGTGTATTTTTGTTTTGTGCACAATATACACAAAACAAGACGTACACAAATAAGAGAACCTAGATCACAGTGAGGTAAGAGTTTTAGGAGGAAGGGACAGCACTACACATGGCAACAGTTATTCAGCCTAGAAAAGGTTGCCATATAAACAACCAAACAGGCTGTCTAGAGATGATGTGGAATCCCCATCCTTTTAAAGAAGAAATTAAGCAAGTCTCAGGTTTAAGGACAGGTAAAAAATATAGTACCTAGTATGAAGGGAATTTAATTTTCTTTACTGTTGCAGGGTTTTTGTCTTTTTTCTTTTTTTTTTTTTTTAAATACAAGCAGCTTCACAAGTCCTAGAGAAAAAAAAAAATTCACGCTGATTCTG